TGCCATGTTGAGTTGACAGTTTGCTCTTCTTCTTGAATGAAAAGTTTGTTCAGGTTCCAAATCACATTCTGCTAGTGGCTTCTCAGAATTTTTGGTCATATACTAGCAAAACCTGAAATAGAAGAGAAACAAATAAAAAATAAAAAATCTCAAATTAACAAATAATAACAATATAATAATTTTTAAATAAATTTTTGGTCCCCCTGATAGCGTCAAATACTTGATGCGTCCTAGACAACACTAGCAAGTGCACTAGTCATATTAGTAAGACAGATATATGAATCTGAGTATCGTCCCATGAAGACTAAATTTTATAAACTAATTATTATACTGAAAACTGTTATTTCAAAAATAATAATCGAATTAAAGTAAATTACAATAAATTATAAAGTTAAATAAAATTGCCAAAAATTAAATAACCACAGTATATCAAAGATAAATCAATCAATAAAATAATGTTAGAGTCTATAATCCTCTTAACTTGCCTAGATATCAATATTGATAATGAAATATGAGTTAAGATTGATGGGTTAATTCTAAAGCCTAGTTAACCTTATTCAGGAATATAACATTTCATATTTAAATGAAACTCTTGTTCAAACACTTTGATAAAAATTTACATATAATCAACCAAATTATTTGGCTTTATTCAGGAATACGAATGCATGCCACAAGTCAATTTTAGATTATCTATGTGAACAAATATGTTATTAAACATGTTATATAAAACATTAACAATCATGCATTGAAATTCCATTGATTAAAAACCCTAAGTTTTCTATTCAAGATATCATTAAGGAATTCAATCAACAAAATATCAAACAAGCATTAAGCTCAATGAATTTGCATAAAACTAACTCAAATGTCATTAATCAAGATCAATACCCATCATAGTTTAGGGTTCATGTTTACCTTAACAAGAACAAATCTACTCCATAATTAAATCTAGAAAGAAAAAGCTAAAACTAAAAGAAAACATGATAAAATAAAATTAAACACAGAATTATGTCTTCATCTTGAGCTTGATCTCCTCTCCAATGGAGGTTTTAGTCTCAAAGGAAGAAGGATAAGAACACCCCTAACTTTGAAAAATCTCTCCAAATAAAAAGTGCAACCTCCCGAATATTAATAGTATGCCCTTTATGAACTAGAGTAAATAACAAAATACCCTAAATACAAATTCTTAGTGAAATAAGAAAGAAAACAAGGCATCATAAAAATTTAGGAAAAATAAAAATTCTATTTTTCTTGTGCATGACCATCTTCCTGACCATGCATCTACTTTTACG